CGTTGGTGCTCGACAAGTGTGGTCGGGTGCTAGTCATGGCCCTTCAGTTTGGGTCGTGACACATGACATGTTTAATATTCTTTAATATTGACAACAAAGTGAAATGCAAGTACTACAATTAAGGATTATGCTAATACAAATATATATATAAAAAATAGGCTGTCCACTACGAGATTTGAACAATAATTTCATATCCTTCTTCATAATTAATATCTAATGTTATATAATTTTTATCTCAGAAGTTTATATTTTAAGGTTATTTGCACATGATTCAAACAACCTACATCACAATTAGATATGATTTTTGTCCGCGCATCGCGCGGGTACTAATACTTAGGGGTGTCAATGGTTCGGTTTGGACGGTTATTTCATAAAATTTGTACCATACCATTTTTTCCGGTTATTCTATTATGTATAACAAAAATTAGACTTTTCGAAACCGTCCCAATCATGTCGGTTGCTCTTTGGTATCGGTACGGTTCGGTTAATTTTCGGTATTTTTTTAAATACATGTAAAATTCACTAGTAGAAGTAGAATGCAATAACATATGTTTTTATAGGATTTAACAAAACTCTCTAGACATTTTTACTGTTTAAAGGGTGATGAATTAAAAAAAAATGACTAGAATATAGATACATCAACTATTCTACAACAACGTAAAAGAAATCAAACAAAGACAAAGAAAATATAAATCACACGAGTTGAAAGATATACCAAGATGAGATTCAAGAATAAAGTCTATAGGAGATAAAATATTCAAAAAAATAAATCTAAATTATATGAAAGAAAACATATTCAATACATTGTAGTTTGCTACTCATAATTGATAAAATACTTTGTGTCTTGCTAATAAAGATACTTGAAATAACTTAGTTTAAGTAGAAGTAGCATAATAGGTTTTAGAGATTAGTATTTTGAGTTTAATTACTTGTTGGCTCGTAATAGTTTTCATAATTCCAAGGCCGAAAGAAAATTAAGTGCATTATTGTTTTTAAACTTACCAAATAAATATATTTTCTACATGTAAAATTTATTCGGTACGGTTCGGTATTTTTTCGGTTTATTTTTATAAAATAAAAAACCTACCCTAATTATCGGTGTGATTATAAATTTATATAAAAACCTACTGTCTCTTAAAAGAAAACCTAAAAATCGGTTCGTTACGGTACGGTTCGGTTGATTTAGTCTTTTCCAATATGCATTGACACCCCCTAATACTAGTTCCTTTTAATTACACTTTTAAGTAGGGTTTATCTAAAACCCTGAGTTCACACTCTTTCCGTGTACACCGTACGCTCGAAATGGAGAACGTCGTCGACGAGGACGACGATTTCGGCGATCTCTACGCCGACGTCGAAGTCCAAGCAAGCTCAGCAATAAACACCGTACATATTTCAACGCAGCTTCAAACGGAAGTCAACGATGTTGACTGTAATGCCGTCGGTAATTTCAACGGTGAAAATGCAGTAAGTGAAGAGGAAGAGGAATGCGAGAGCGAGAGTGAGGATGATTTAAACATAGTGTTGAATGATGATGAAGAAGATTATGAAAATCATTTTCTCAATGAAGATGAAATTGAGGAAAATGCTGAAGGAAATGGCTCAGGACAAAATTCAAACAGCAGCGAAAACGGCAATGCAGAAAAAAACAGTTACAAGGTAGCATTAGACTGTAAAATTAGAGGGAAAAAGTAGTTTAAAATTTGAGTTTATATTTCTAAATTGTTTTGGTATTGATTAATTGTTGAACCTGACCGAGACAAGTTGGTTAGATTTTTCAACCCTAGTTGGTTTCTTCCTAGGCAGAGTTACCCTTAGGCAGCAGGGTACTTGGTGAACGAGCAAACTGACCTGGACACCACTGTAGTAAGAAAAAAGGGAAAAGAAAAGAAAGTTCTTAGATTTTGGAACATGTATAAATATCTAGAACCCAATTATTCTTGTATACTAACTTGAGGTTGTTGTCGGAACCTATAAACTTCAAATTATGGATCGACCTCGGATCATTTAGACTGTGAAATTAGAGAAAAAATGTCGTGTAAATTTGAATTTATTTCATTATTGTTTTGGTATTGATTAATTGAACCTGATTGAGTAGTTGCTTAGATATTTGGATGCTTATTTTGGTTTGCTTTTATGCAAAAGCAGGCAACGTTAGTACAAAGCGAATTTTGTATATTCTGATATTATGCCATTTTCTATTTTCCAGAAGTCTTACTTGGCAGTAATTAAGTTGAACTAATTTTTTTTATTAGAAGTTTGATTGCTTGAGAATCTGAAGATTAGGTAAATGTACACACTATTCCTATTTGTTTGGCATTATTTGCTGATCAGAGTCCAGTTAAGTTAAAATCAGACGAGAGTAATTCATTTTCTTAAAAAATTTAAAATTTAAATTTTCTGAATCTACTATATGTTACAATTATCCTCATATTAAATGGTGAAAATACATTTGCGAATGTTGCTTAAAGTATCTAAGGAAGCGAGATGTCCCAAATTTTTCGGAGTGGGAGAAATATAAATTTGAGTTGTTTCGATATTGCTTTNATATATATTGTTTATTGGAAAAATGGGCAGAATCATGCTTAATATCATGTATCCTGGTTTTGCTCTTTTTCAAAGCAAAGGCAGAGAATATCTGCTTCCCTTGTTTTTTGGGTTGATCTTCTTGCGATACACCTACCATCAATTGCTGCAACTTGGGAATTTACTGAAATTATCTTTAGATATTTCTTCTTGATTATCTGTTTTGAATTCTTCAACTGTTACGATTTTCATGGTGATATGTTTCTTCAGTGTTTACATGAATTAGTGCCGTTTAGCTTTTGTGGATTAGTTGTGTGCACAAGTTGGCCAGAATACAACGTAATCAAATTGAAGATGAATTAATGCAGTTATGTTACTTCATAGAGCTTCATGCTCCATATTATGATTTTTCCCTTTTCTGTAGAACACCAGACCTCCACAAGCAGCATATTCAAGTCATCTCAAAGCCGATGGATCTTCTTGCTTACATTCTTACTCTACAGCATTGGTCAAGTGCACCTGGGATAATAATGGCTACATGCAAAGGATGGGCTCAGGCTCTGCTGCTCAAAATGGACAGAGCTTCTCACTTCCTCGGTCGAGGTTAGTAAATTTGGTCAAACTTAGCCTGTAGTCTAATCTTTGGTTAAGTGCTTTCTTGTGTTTCCATTTTTATTGGAAAATATCTACATTTCAAACATACTGATAAAAGAAAAGAATCTACATTTGGAACAACTGGTTCCACTTTTCCTGGTGCATATTTGCTTGTTGGAGATAGTGTTGGTCATCTCCTCAAAGAACTGTTGTGAAATAGGTTTAACAAAGAAAACCATTCTATGTTCTTTTGAGGCAGAATATCATAGTTTTTTGAGATGGTAACATTTGTATGTATTAGTATGTAACAGTACATAGGTTGTACTGAACCATATTTACAAGAGAACAAAATGGAAGAATAACTGATCTACAATCCTAGCAGTATAGAATCTTTTCATTTTTTTATAGATATGTAATTGATCTATAATTTTTCAGGAATATCTTGGACATGAATATTGATATGTTTGAGAAGAAACCTTGGCGGTATCCAGGTGCTGACTTGACAGATTATTTTAATTTTGGTTTCGATGAAGATAGTTGGAAACAGTATTGCAATTGCCTGGTAATGAATGTATACAAGTTTGTCTTTTCTGATATGTATTATATAGTTTTTCCTTCTGTCATTTTTTTGTTCATCTTTCTTTTTGTATATTTTCCCAATTTTTGAGTATGTATAGTGGTGGTAAAGTTGCTTCTACCAGTTTTACTGCATGTCTTACATGTTCATCCTTGGTCTTGACTTCTGAAATAGGATAAGCACCGAGAAAAGGCCAAAAGGGTAGTCAAGGATTCAGACTACAAGACTTCGAAAAATAGTAAGGTAGGTATCTATGGATGATTCTCATGATTTACTACTTCTTAAACAATATGTGCAGCTTTTGTGTATCAAATGGGTTGTGAAAGCTGAGGGTGACCATATTTTTCAAGAAGTAATGTCCGCAAATGCTGGTCACTTTAGTCAGAGTAGAACAGTTTCTCCAGCCAACGAAAGTTGTTTAGTCAACAGCAGTTCATACTGTTATGTCTTTCCAAAGTTCCTATTAATCAGGATCATACACCCCACCTATATATGTATCAAATGGGTTGTGAAATTCCTCTTGATCTTTAACCTTATCTTTTCCATTATTAAAAGCCAAAATAAGTAATTGAGTAAAGGCATAGGTCTGACCCTTTTCTGGAAAGGACTGCCTAAAAATGCAGGTAATTCTTACCATAATGAGTGCACTGTTAACTCTACCTGCATCTGTATTTTAAAGGTTCTTTCTTTTACTCTTTCTCTCATGCTCAGCAGCTCTTCTTTGCTTGATTTCTTTTTTGTTAAGATGGTTTACTCGAGATGCCAATGGATTGGTTGCCACCCATTTGAGGGTGCTGGACTATGAGAACCTGTTATAGTTGGCAAAACTTGTAAAGAACAAATTACCTCTATGACGGACGGGCATTTTAATCTGAATTGAGTCGGAAAACTAGCATCTTCTGTTCAAACCATGCTGAGTATGGAATTTAAAAGGAAAAAAAATTGTAGATGTCTTTGTAACCTAGCTGTTTTTAATTTTTCTGAAATTGAACTGTTAATGATGCTTATGGTCTAAACTTGCCATGATCAGCCAAAAGGTAGAGAAATTGAGGTGGAAGAGAGCATCATTGAGCGTCAACCATCGACAGATGTGGAACGTTCGCAGGATCGGGATTCTGATGTTGTCATACAGGTAACAAACTTTTTGATTCTGCCCACTTCTTGACCATCTAAGCACTGTCTTCTCACAGTCTTGTGCTGGCACCAGATTGCTTTGCAGGATTCATTGGAAGATCCCATAAACTCTCCAAAAGAGCAGCGGGAATCACCTGAGAATGGAGATGTTGGGAGAAATGGAAGGGATTTTCTCTGTTTTAGTAGTGCCAGTGAAGATGAGTTAGCCAGCTTGGAAGGAAGAGGAGTATCAGGCAACTCTACATCTAGAAGGTCTGGGATCTACTGGTTGAACTGTCATGATAGTCTGTATCTCTATTAGATTTATTCTTTCTGGTTATTCTTCTCTTTGGACCACAACTATTTTGGAAAAGACATGTTGGTAGAATTCCCTTGCAGATTTTACTTTTTAAATCGTTGAACTTCGAACGCTGTTTTTGGTGTGACATAAGAGTTTGACATGTGATAGGTTTGCTTGCATGGTTTTGATGCTCGTAGTTGGCTTAAAGTTTTGTCAGCTTCTAAGTTTTTTAAGTTTTTGTCCCAGAAATATTTGCCAAATTCCGTCAAAATTTTCACAGATTTCTTTTTTCATGGACCATGGCAATCTGTTTCATTTTTGGGTTTCTATTAGTCAAATGTGTTACGAGAAATTGCTATCTTCACCTTTACTTTTAGGTCTTGCTTCTCGCTTCTCAGCTGGTTTTATGCTGATCTGTATTGAATAAAAATATATTTAATGGTTAAGTTACTTCATTCTCATAAGATTAGCTCTGGATTCCAGGAACACACCTGTTCGTGAACACGTGTCTATGGATTCAGATAACAACGGAAACTGTGAGTTCTCCGATGCAGATGAGCATCCCCACCGAGAGGGAACTGAATGTGATGTCTATCAAACCTCGGGAGCAATTGAATCTTCTCATGATGCGAATAAAAGCAGTGTGAGAGACATATCTGATCCAAGAAAATCTGTAATGTTGCAAGAACCACTGCATGGTGAAGGCCGACAGCATAGCCCAGGTTCATCTTGTTGTTCTCTAAGTCATAGTGATGCATCTGAAGATGGGGCTTTTCTTGACATTGAGAAATCCCATGATCATCATATAAGGTCATTACCAAATGCAGACTCTGAGTTACTGGAGAAGGGTACAATTGATTACCAGCCAGTTTCCGGAACCCGTTATATCCAAACAAAGTCTGGTGGTTCTAAATATTTTACACGAGGTAGAAAGCCTGTGCGAAGAGATCTGCTGCATGACAGAAGAAGACCTGGTAGAATGAGTGAAACTCACCTGAAAGTTGAAGATTCCCGCAAATCTGATGCTAGGATACTGTATGAAAGGCGTAATTCAACTGTGATCCAACACAGACATAGGGATAAACGGTATGCTTTTGACTCTCATGAAAGAGAAGATACTTCACATTTTAAGAGGGCAGAACCCTTTTACTGTAATGCAGGAAGATTTTCTGATTATCCATGCCGGGATTCCTATAAAAAAGATCCTGAGAGGGAATGTCAGTTAGAATACAGATATGACAACAACTGGTGTAGCAGTCGAAGCACGAAAAGAAAGCTAAATCCTCTTGAACTATCAACATATGATGAATTGTCGGAAAGAGATCAATCCCATTATGGGAGCAGACTCACTGTTCAGGACATGGACAATAATTCTTTTCATGAATCAGAACAATGGATTGATAAGCACATTCCGTATCTAGATGATGAGATACCCAGTCAACAAATGTGGAAAATTGATCAGTTGCAGAGTAACAGCAGAATGAGGACTGATGATCTTGTAACTGAATGTAATTACATCTACGATATCATGGAAGAGACAGATAACAGATATAGATCATACAACAACAGGGATACTAATATTATAGAAGATGGCTATCATGTAAATTTGACTTATTTCAGAAGAGAAACTAAAAGCCCTAATAGGGGCAAAAGGAGAGATAACAGTTCCCACGATAGTTTAAATAATGTATTTTGCATGGATCTAAAGGATGAGGAAGGGAGATTTGACGCGTATCGACCTCCATCCTTTCGTTTGTATAGGGAACCTTGTACAGCTAGCAGAAGGTGGCAGAGCCCTGAACTTCCACGTGGAAGACATGGAATATTCAGTGGGACTAGGAAATGTCAAGATGGTGGTCAGTCTGCTAATTTGACCAATTCTATTAGTGCTGATCAGATAATCAAGTATCCTGGTAATCAGGGTAATTTTAAAAGAGGAAGAAGGTACTGGCAATCTGAAGGGTTGCACAGGGTTGAAGATGAAAATATTAGGTATCAGCAAAATATATTAGATTCCGAGAAGACATCATATTCATTCAGAAGAAGTTCAAGTGACAAAAGGTTTGAGTCATTTGACAATAAACATGGACCCGATCTAGTAGAAAAGCTTTTAGATGACAGACATGTGGATCATGAAAAATACAAATTGATCAGGGAAGGCAATAAAGCCAGTCAATTTGGTCAAGGGTCTAAATTTTTTCATAGAGATAATCGGTGGAGATTCCCAAAGGGGAGAGATTCTTTTGCCACGGGCTTGGTTGTTGAGAACAGAGAGGTAATTTTGTGTATACGAATATCAAGATTGTATACTTCCATATGTAAATATGAGTACTCCATATATGTTGGGTCTTGTTCCATTGTGCGATGCCATCCGATTCTTCCAAGGTTTCCTAATTTCCCTGTGCGTTTTATTCAGTATGTTCCTTTTTCTCTGAAGTTTTCATATTGCCTTGATTTTCTTTTAAATTTAAATTTCTTGAATTGGCGCTTAAAAGATTGGGCGTGCCATTCCAAAATCATATTAAGGTTGCTTTGCTAGGAATTCTTACATTACCTATGATCAATTGATCATCAATATTCTGTATTTACTTATGGTACCATATAAATTTGTCAGTGACCATTTAGTCGGTTTATTTTCTTGATCCAACAAAAAATAGATTGTTAGTGACAGTCGTCTATACTTTGATTAGAAAAGAGTGTTTGTTTAAGAAGCATTTATCATTATGTAGCTCCAGTTGGTAGTAGTCTTTTGCCACTTGGTGTACATTAAATATCTAATGTGGTAAAGCTTTTGCAAGAAATGTGAGAGGACTCCAGTAGTTCGTTGTCTTTATAGAATTATATAGGTAGTCTTTCTCTTCTCCAACAGTGATAAGCAAGTAAAATATTTTTATATAGTGCAATGTTAATATCTGTATAGAGGATCTCTGCTAAACTAGAAAGAAAACTCACCAAATTGTATAGCTAGTGGGTGGATATCACTAAATTGTATACATGGTGAGACTTTCTATTTCTTCTGACTAACCAGATCTCAATTAAAGAAAAGAGTTTCTATTTCTGTGGTTGAAAGGGGTTGGATCTTTCTATCCTGTTTCTGGCAGATTGATACATCACTAGCACAATGTTTCTGCATGACTTCATTGATTGTTTTCTTTATCTCTAATAGAGAAACGGTTTAGGACGAAAGTCGCCTTTTGTAGCTGGCATTGGCATAAAACTTTGTTGAACTTTACTATTAGCGTCAAGCTACGTGTCCTGAATGTGCTTTTCTTTTTGGGTATCAACTATCATAAAATTGTGCTTACGCAGGAACTTTATTGTTGTAGCTCCTCATTCTAGCAAATCATATGTTCTTTCTTGACATGAGCTTGTGTACGTGGGATACCTTCTGTTTTTAGTAAAGTATTATCTTTGCTTTCATTTATTGCTCAATATCAACAAATTTGAAAATGATGACATTGAATCCTGTTCAAGAATGTGAGATGGGTAGTGAAATAAGATAAAGTAGATTGCCACACCACTGACGTTGCTGTTCCCAGTGTATGCTCCTTTTATGTCTTTGTTGTGGCCAACTTGTCTTTTAGATAGGAAATGATAGTTTTAGCCAGATAGTTAGATTCTCTAAATTCGATTTGAGAGGCCATATTGGATATTGCGCCTGCTTGAACTTGGACTACAAATGAAATCTTCTTTATATTTTAAGGGGATAGGGACTGGTAGGGGGTGTTAGGTGTAGTAGTCTTCAATTTTTCTATACATAGTTCTTGAGATCTTAAGTAGATAGTTTTCAGTTTGAGGACATAACGATTAAACATCATACCTTGTATGTTTTTGGACCACTTTCGGATACAGTCAGACCTCTCTATAACAACATACCTATATACAATACTTCACTATAAAAGCCAAGTTTTTCCGGAACCAATTTTTATGTTATGTTATAATATATGTTCTCTATAGCAGCACTTCGCTATAACATCCAAAAATATTTGGAACAAAAGACGCTGTTATAGAGAGGGTTGACTGTATTACCAGTTAATGCTGATGATCGGGTGCTTTTTGTAGAGAACCATGTCTTTTTATAAGGTTCTCTTATAAAAAGATATGGTTCTCTATCATCATGGTTTTTAAGGTTCTCTATGTGGTATAAATCTTGTATGTATGGTTTTCCCCATCTTTTCAACAAAATCACTGCCTTCATCAAAAAAAAAGAAGCTAAACACCATATACCAAAATATAAAAAGGATTTGGGATTTGCTCTTTGCCTTTTCCAGCTCTGTAGGTAAGATACTGTGATAGGCTTAGTTCCCACCCCTCCCTCTGTGGTTTCAAAGTGAGAAAACTAATATAATAATAGAAAACCGAAAAAAGATGTGGAGAAAACTTTAGCTGCATGCTTTGTTTCATGATTATAATGCATTTACTGCTGCTTCAGGATCCATTTCTTTTTTCACCATATAACCATCAACTTTACATACATTGATGCCTCATGTTAAAAATGCACTGTTATATTTATATTTTGTGTTGATATACTTTGAAAACATTATAAAGCTTTGTGATTATCCTTGTTCCCAACACATTCCGACGTCTTAAATTGAAGTTATTGGTAAACTAAAACTTGGTGTTCTACTTTGGCAGGTCCTGTAAATTTACACGTATGCTAATTCCTTTTATTCTTCACTTCTAATTATGATTTTACAAACCAATATAGTCACTGACTAAATAACTCTCTTCTATTTAATGATTTAATTTACATCCCCTTTCAAAGTTTCAGCTTTGTTAGTACTTAGTATGATAGTGATGCCTTTTAACAGTCTGGAAGTTCTCTAATTTCGTGCATGGTAAGTTTTTGTGTCATGTGAGCTCATGCACGATAAGGCGGCCTCTCTTCATTAATTGTGTAAACTATCAGGATTTTGATTTTTTATTTGTGACTCTGGATCTGCAGTCCTCCGGAAGATGCTCCAAAGCAGGGGGTGTAACATACTTTGGCAGGTATGGCTACTTGGATTCAGATAGTTATGTGTGGAGCTGAAGCCTATTGATGGAACTAACGAACCCCATTACAGGAGGACACTCAGAAGTCGAAACCTGACAACTGATCCTAAAGAAAATGAGAAAGAGAGGCTTGACATATTCTCAGATGCCCAGCAGCAAGAGTCTTTGGATATTGAAGAGGGAGAGATAATTTCTGAAGTAATGAATGAGAGAACCATTAAAAGGAGAAGCACTTGTTTTGGAAAATCGCAAGTCAGTGAAATGAAGAATTTTGCTAATGATAAAGATGTGGAGGGAAAGGACAACCCTAAAATTTTGGAGATCATGGCAAAGATGGAAAAGCGTGGAGAGCGTTTCAAGCAGCCTATTGCTCTAAAAAGTGATTCAAAGAATATCTCCAAGCCTTCCGTTGATTTGTTTACTGGCACGACTGAAGCTATGCAACCAAGACCAGCACGAAAGAGGAGATGGGTTGCAAGTGAGGCCAACTAAAGCGAATGTTTCATCAAATGCCATTGGCTGTGTGGTCATATTAGAGGATCTGCCTCTTAGTTCACCTTCATAACTGGATCTGTATAGTGGCATTCCACCTACAGAAATGGCTGCTGATGGTATATCTGGGGTTAAGAAGAATACTTTTCCCATGAAAAGAGGGAAAAAGAAAACACGTCTAATAAAGGATATTGTTGTCTCTGCTAAACTCCATTTTTCCTCTTAAAAGTATAATCGATTATTTTGATGTCAAAAGGATTTAAGTTGCTCATAGCAGGCTACCAGTGATGGTATGATTTGAGTTCTTAGAATTCCCAATTTTACAGGAGGAAGCCATTGGTGGCTCCATTGTATAATGTCTCAATTCTTAGGTTTGTCATCTTTCTTGTAGTTCCTTAAATAGGTTTTGGAAGCAGTGGCATGGAAAAAGCTGTTCTTGTTCGATGCAATGGTTCGGAGCTACAGGTTCAAATTGTCAGCTCGCATGAAATATTTGCCTTCTGCTGTACAACAGGAAGGCTTATTTTTCATTTTGCTTTCCTTGTTTATTAAGTTAGTACGTAGAACAATTGACTTAAGGATAATATAGTAAGTACAGAAGTAACATTTTGGTGTCTAGTTTATAGTTGTAAGTCGTAGAGACTTATGGGTAGTTGGAACCTTGGAGGCCATTTACAGAATACATTTCACCTCTTGGCCTGGGCGAAATTAAGAGGGAAAGAAATAACGTATGTGCTATCTGCTACTTCTTATTCAGCTTTTCAAAAGTTTTGAGTGTAGAAAAACATGTTTAAGGGACTATTTTATCGTAGCTATTGTAGTTTCCCATGGGTTTCTTTTCTAATCATTGTGATACTAAACACGGAGTTGTCATTTTTGAGCATCTACATTTTTTCGTGGTAATTGTAGCAGTAATAATTGTATTTCAGCCAAGTTTTACAGATTATCTCATGCACTTATTTTGTCGATGAGGGTTCTAGAGATCTTGAGTTTGTCAATGTAATTATCCATTTAAAAGTAACTCTTCTAGATGCGATTCAAAAGTCTTTGCCCTGCGCGCTACTAAAGTATTGCTGCAAGTAACACTCCTTGATGAGTACAGTGAACTATCATAGCTAAGGCCAGAGCATGAAACTCCGAAATGTTGCTAAATGTAATACAACTATGGTCTCATTTCAATTTGGTATACAAGCTTCTTTTGGCTCGGATTGGAATGTCACCAGGCAGAACTTTTACTAAAATGGTGCAATTTTGAGAATAAGAAAGGTCATCGGAGGATACATATAGCCTGGCCATAGTCATGCACCATGGGATAGTGCCGATGAACTATTTTAGCTTAAAGCACACTCAAAACTATTGTCTATACATCTACTGTCCTTGCATTAACAATTTCACGAGTGTCAAAGCTGGACAGAAAAGTAATTCGAACTAATCTGAATAATCCCGACAAAAACCAAAATTGATTATCCAGTTAGTAACCCAAAGGTAAACGTGAGGAAGAGTTCAGTCCTGAGAGCAATTGCAGGATGAGAGATCAAAGGAAATTGTTTGAGTGCTTGTTTTTAAGCTTCTCGCCAAAAAAGATGAGCAGTAGTTTTAGTCACTTCGCCTTCTATTGCTCATGGGGGTGGTTTGCTCTGAAAGGAGTTTCAAAACATTCACCAATGCCCGTAGACGATCCCAGATGTTCAAACCATAAAGAGCCTCCACAAGAGACTCTTGAAACTCGAATCCATTCTCAGCAACAGGATACTGCAAAAATATGGGTAAATGACATGAAGTGTATGAATGATAGAATGACTTCAGAAGATGTGGAACTCACCTGAATAGGCTTTGGTATCTTGGTTTTAATAAGAGGCCACCACCGATCCTCCACCACTGATTTTACAAGACAGCAAGCTCGCAATCCTTCAATACCAGCAAATCTTCCAAATCCACTGTCTTTTACACCACCAAATGGCAGGGACTGCATATCATTATTCAGAAGAAAGGTTGAGAAGGGGCGCAATTTGAAAAGAAACATGAAAAAAGGGATGCCGGGAAGGGGGATGGCGTTAACCAAGTAAGCAGGGAGGTCCAAAATATTTAAACCAAAGTCAGTTTTAAAGGATAAAGTTTGGCACTTTTGAGGTAGTTGGCCTTTAGAAGAGGGAGATGTCAGGGTTGGACATGGTGAAGCTTCAGGACCGATGATGGGAGCAGAAAGGTCATGAGCCTCACTAATTGAGAATGGGATCAAGTCACGAGGGGAAAGGTAGCTTTGGATTAGGTTATGCAATTAAGGGTTACTTTGGCAGTTGAAGAATTAGGGTAAGTCATGATGGAAAGGATCTTTTTGATCTCTTTTGATGTGAAGGTTAAGAAATAATAAGACCATGTGGGATCTGCATAAACTTTCAAGTAGGACAGTTAGACTTAAGCAGAATGAACCTTGATACATAAATAGTAATAATGGAGAAAAGATAATTACGGCAATCACTAATGGAGTTCTCATGCAGATGTCACAGGGTATTGTCTAAGGTTCACAAAATTGTCGCTAGTTTGTAATCATACCTCAATCATCATGAAGCAAATAGTCACATATAAGTATGCCAAACTCTTGATAAAATGCCTCAAGAGTTTGATGCCTACACTCCAAGTACCTGACACATGTAACTTGATGCGAAGTCATTGATAGCAGCCACTCCACAATGTAATTGTGAAGCTATCTGCTTAGCACGACGCTGACTGCCTGAAAATACAGCACAACCAAGTCCATATTTTGAATCATTTGCAAGCTGAACAACTTCTTCATCAGAGCTGAATTTCATTATTGGCAATATTGGTCCAAAAGCCTGCGAGCAATTAGCAATTTCCATATGGAGTTAATCAGACCACCTTTATCCCTGTAGTAAACTAAAACAAAAGAAAATATATCAAACTGATGATACCTCCTCCTGCATCAACTTCATGGTGTGATTTACGTTTACAATCACAGTAGGAGGGAAGTACTGATCAACAGCACCTTCGCCAATATTGCCTACACTTCCTCGAGCAACAATTTCAGCGCCTTTTGTCTAGGGCATCATTTACCAGGTACTGAAGCTTTTCAGAATGCTCTTGCATGCATATGGCTCCCATGTCATACTTCCCAGATAGAGGAGGGCCCTACAATAATATTTTCAGTTTTGATTATATAATTATTTTAGAAAATTGGACCACATCAGCAAAATCACTAATATTAATGTAATTAACAAGAGAATAAGTAGTTTTATGCTTAGGCTTCAGGAAATTATTATGTATTTATCTCTCAATTCTGGGCAAACTCATACTTATAACGCTCACAATTAGCAGCATACTGGAAACTGAACAAGGATGAACATGATATATAGGGAGCTGAACATTCAGATAAGATCAATAAGCTATCTAACTAAGAAGTCAAACAACCATTATAAGCAAAATGCTGTCCCATGAAGAATAAAGATCTTATAATGCATCGAGTTGAAAATGAGGCAAAAAGGAGAAAAGATACGTACAGCAGTAACCGATTTCACAATTTTAACTACTTCAGCAACAAAAGAAGAGTAAATGTCCTTGTGAACATAAAAACGTTCTGCACCAGCACAATTCTGCCCACTTGATTGGAGAGCTGCTCTGGCAGCAACTTGTGCAACCTGCATTAAGTTTTATTTCATTAAAGGCTCATGAAATAAAGGTATATAAGACAAGAGGGGTTGCTCTGATGGTAAGCAACCCCCACTTCCAACCGAGAGGTTGTGAGTTCGAGTCTCCCCAAGAGCAAGGTGGGAAGTTCTTGGAGGGAAGGATGCCGGGGGTCTATTTGGAAACAGTCTCTCTACCCTAGGGTAGGGGTAAGGTCTGCGTACACACTACCCTCCCCAGACCCCACTGGGATTATACTGGGTTGTTGTTGTTGTTGTTGTTGTTGTTGTTGTTGTTGTTGAAATAAAGGTATAGTTGAATGATCTTCTTTCTTTAGCTTCTGGTAGAGATATTTGAATGATCTTATCATAGTGGAAAGTAATCAAATGTACTTTATCCCCAAAAAGAAAGCAGACTAGAAAAATTTATACATGTGGCACATCGGCATCTTCACAGACAATAAATGCATCTTTTCCACCAAGCTCAAGGGTAACTGGTATCAGTGTATCTGCAGCAGTCCGCATAATCTGCAGAACACAAAGTCAGAACATCAGGATTTATAAAGCAGAAAAAAGAAAAATAAAAAGAAAGGTTAATCAAATTAAAGCTATCGAGAAGATGAAAAGGGAATTTAAGTTGCTCCACATAAGATATGAAAAGATAAGCCCTATTCAGGGTGACTTACCTTTTTGCCCACACCAGGTGATCCAACAAATATCATTTTGTCGACAGAGGATACTAGTGCCTCTCCAGTTTCAGCAAAGCTGGCAAGGAAAATTTGATAAAATGTATGCCAAATCAACCCAGAGCAAAGATGATAAATGCTCTATAAATGCATACCCAGTTATAACTTCTACCAAGTTCTCAGGAGCTCCGACTGCAGCAAGAGCAGTTTGAATGATTCGCAGATAGAAACACCCAGACCAACTGGCATGTTCTGAGACCTAAGGTAACAACGAGGGGATCTCGTCAAAATCAAAACCACTGCTTTTTAGCATTTTGCTTCTGAGAGGTTGTATATTTTTCAGTTTTAATTGTATGTGTACATATTTAAAGTTCAAGATGTGACAACTACGTTTAAGTATGCTCATCTCAAATATTTTCCAAGTGCATACCATGTTGCTAAAGTTCTATCCATGAGCAAACAGGAACCGTAGATAGTTGGAAAGGAAAAATGAAGACCTTTATCACAATGCTGTTCCCTGAGAAGACTGCAGCCAACATTGGATTAAAGATATTGTGAAATGGGTAATTCCACGAAACAATAGCACCAACAACACCAAGAGGATAAAATTCCACTTTTGCAGTCTTGTGAAGCATTGATCTCCCACATGAACTGCAAACCACAACATTTAATCATAAATTTCTTTGCCCTTCTAGGTATCAAGGGCTGAAGCCATGGAAGTAATGGATCCACTATTTTAAAGAAATGCAAGTAAGAGNTATCAAGGGCTGAAGCCATGTAAGCAATGGATCCACTATTTTATAGAAATGCAAGTACGGAAAACCATTTGCATGACATACCGGTATTCAGGCTTTAGCCACTTTTCACCCTCTGAAAGAAGCCAATGTATCTTTTCACATGTAGTCATTATTTCTCCCAAGGAGGCATCTACCATTGTTTTTCCAGTATCACGTGAAGAGATACTAGCAAAAGTTGTTCAAAGAAATAATCCGACAAGGTCAAATAAAAATAGGAAGATACATAGTAGTTTAGTGTAAAGAAGAGGCAATTTAAATGCAACTAACTCTTAGACTAAAAGCTAAAACTATAGGTTGTCATATGCGAGAGAAAGAGAAATTGGATAATGATAGGTTTTCATAATCATGAGATTCATCTGTTATTATTTTTTTATGACCAATAAATCCCGAGGGCCGGTGGCGCATGGTTTGAAACTCTATCGATAATGGGCCCTCCCCTCTATCTTTCTCCACTTAAATACCATGCTTTTGTCTGCAGCATTGTTCGAGCATGTGACATGCGCTAACCTATGCATCACTTTCTGAGCTCTTACCATTAGACCAAAGCCCTGGGGGCGAGATTCTTCTGCAGATCTTTTATTTGTCTATCTTTGATATTTCAATAGTTATATTTAGTATTATTGGACAGAAAACTTTGAATGCAACCAAACACTTGGAATAATGTCACTGGCATAAAGTTATGATCTCTAAGAAATAGTTTTTTTTTTTTTTGGATAAATTGGGCAATAGTTTAATAGATTTTCTGCACTTATCTCCTCTTCAATTTCGTAGTGTATGATTGCGAAACGAAATTATGTTCAATGGAACACTGCTCCTGTCTCCAAGCACTTTCTATCTGGACCACCACAAGAATTGTCTCAACTATGGGTCTCTCCTGAAACACTTTACTGTGTACACCATGTTAGTGTATAAATCAATAACTGATAATATTTCATTTGGAGGTCCACCAATATTTGGTCACGAATTGTACCTCACATCCATAAAAACTGACATATGCGTCAACATGGACTTCAGCATATAGAGTCTTCCAGCATCACTAACTCTTCTAAATTCTTTGATCCGTAAAATGATGTCCCAAAAAGAAAGAATCCAGTCTAATTCCCTAAGTTTTTGCTCGAATATTGTCAGTTTAAGAGTTTACTGCTCCTATACAGATGATGTTGAAGAAACATAGGCAACAACTACCTTAAGCATTTCAGTATCTTTCATCATGCACCTTGAACATATTTAAAAGTGTCATTATTGTTGGCAGTGTCAAACAGCAGTTTTACATGGTAAGTGGCCCTTACTTGCATATAAGGTCTTGATGTTCAATAATATACTTTAGAAGTATACGCAGAAACAGACGTCTTTGCTTGAAGCTACTCTTTGCCCATATCTTCTGAGCTTTCCTTGCATGTGCAACCCGCTCCTTAACCTGAGCATAATTTAATTTGTTAATTGCATTTGGCTTGCATGTAAAGAGGTATTTATCTACAAAAGACTGCCGATGCTGGTTTTAGGGGTGAAAAACAAGGAAATTAATACGATTCCAGATATGAGGTGGAAAAAGCTAAGGCAAACCACAAACCACGGGGAACCTCCACCACTTTAACTATGATAAGGCCTACGCTGGTGAAAAAGTGTGCCAAATAAGGATTATTAATTCTGACACTAATCTTAGCACACCTGTTTGGTTTATTTGTAAGAACAAACCTATAATCTTGAAGTTCATGTATAAGTTTATGATCACATAAAGGTTCTTACCTATGTTGCGGGGACTCTCCAAAATACTGCCGCACCCGTGTCGGATTCTCCAAAAATACACTGCTTTTGGAGAATACGACATGCACCCGGCGATATTTTCGGAGAGTCCGAGTAATATAGGTTCTTACAATAATAAGTGGCGGGAAAAGAGAACCAGTGAGCTGATTGCTTAATCAAATCCCAATAATATGACTCAGTATTTTTATGCAAAATTTCATGCAAAATTACTACATACTTTTTGAGAAATTACAGAGATTCTAGATACTGAACCATGTAAAAAGGATGGAGGAAAAAGGGGAAGTTAGTTTAGTGCATGACACAAGATATTGACATTTAGAATAGAGGAACACAATTAGTACATAAATCTGACCTCATCAGGTTTCAGCGCTGGTAAAAAACCCAGGTACTTCATTGTTGCAGGTTCATAGCACTGAACTTTGTCTGTATGCCTTCTCGAGGGAATCTAAATGAGCAAAATTCGTCATGAAAAGATACAAGTGTCACATTCTTTTCTTTGTGGAATGAACCATATAAAGTTCCACAAAAGGTAAGAGGGCAAAGTTCTAACAACACAGACATGCACACCACATTAAAACTCAAACTGTGTCATCTGACTAGTTCTCCTAAAGAGAAATGCCTTCTTGATAGTGTAAATGAGTTGGAAGCGCTAAGACCTAAGAGCTACTCTCAGTAAGATGTGAAGCTGTAAATTACATAAAACTCATATTCCCAGTGTGTTCACTAAGACAAATATTTTCCCAATAATTTTCAGTGTTCAGTTATCTTGAATTTTTGAAAATGGTTGCGGAATAAACTTATTTCCATCGAAAGAAGAAAATTGACTTCAGAAACTTACTGACGGAGATCATTTTCTTTCACAAAATATCCCCATTCTGCTACATATCTTTTGCTTCAACCAACATTCAGGCTTTTTTGACAACCTTTACAAAAACACCACAAAAATACGATCATCACATTCTTTTCGTTTTTTTTAAAAGGTGATGTTTTGGCCAACTTGTGCACACCTAGGTTAATTCATTAGATACTTTCTATTTCTCACCAGTACATGTACCATGTAACTCAGGCTACCAAGCTTAAGCAGATAAGAATAATTCATCTAGTATAGCTTATGTTGGGACTTTAATCTTGCTTCCCAAGGTTGCCCCGACCGTTAGACTTCCACCTTGGGGAATTCAATCCCCATACTCTATCTACCACCTTGTATGATATTATGATTATAATATACCAATTGAACATTGTAAAATGTTCTAGTAAATGATTTCTAATGTCAATGTGAAACACTTTCCACAGGAAACAGCTTTACATTCTACCAAACACACTTCCAAATTCAAATTGTTTTCTGCAATACAGTAAAATATCTATCACTACAGTGCCTCCTCAACTAACCACATTTCAACCAAATCACGCCATGAAAAACATTTCAAACATAAAAACGACAAAAAAAAAATTAAGCAAAACACAATTCGACACTATCTACTACTACTACTACTACTACTATTACTACTACTATTATTATTATAATTAGTATTTGATAGTAGTGCGCGGCCAGCTTGCGCACCTCAACTATTTCAACAGGTACCGGGTAGAACTCTTCCTACCAAGGCGTAGGCGGATGAGAAGAAATCACCTAGTGCTTTTTGCCTTCCCATCTGCCTGAGCTTTGATGGGTAGAGTTATCTGGTACTTGTCCTGGTGGGATGTACCCGATGGAATAGTTCAACACCATCAATAATATCAACATAAAGTAAATGTACCAAAATTCGACTCTAAGCAAAAAGCATTTCATTCATTACTTACATAAATGAAGCTGTTCTCTTTCGTGTGATTCCCATCGTCCAACACTATAACACCAAAAATATCATTAAAATCAACGAATTAATACATGTAAAAAAAATAAATCAACAATACAGCTATCAATAATAAGCAATTTGAAAGTAGTGCAAAATGCAAAATACGACGACATTTTGTTCGAAGCCTTACCGTCGGAAGTGTCGACGTCAATGGAAGGGACATTGGAAGGAATGAGCATCAACAGTAACTTACAGATCGCGAATGCGAATACAATTACAATCAGCGCCCACCAGAACGCCATGGAAGTTTCGGGAAAACTCTAGAAGCTTCGGAGAGGGAAATGGCCAAATCGAGAAGAACGTTAGGGTTTTACGCTACTCTTTAGAAGGAATATTTGAAATGAATCTCCATAGCCACAAAGAAAAAAATAAGATTCAGTTCCTCGCTGACGTCGCTTTTCAGTGTTTACATTACTTTTTAGTTCACTAATTATTTAGTCACTGCTAGTTTTACCGCTTCTAAATATGTAATGATTTGTGATAAGTAAATTTTTTCAACAAAGGCTAGTCAACTTGTACACATTTTAGATCTTAATATAGGTAATTAATGTATGAGTACTTCACTGGGTATATGAAGGGCTCTCTTGTAAAGTTGTTGCTACGTGACCACAAGGCTAGAGGTTCGAGCCGTGGAAATAAAATATAAGGTAAGACTGTATATAATAGACTTCAATTATAAGATTGTGATTTATAGGAAGTTGTGGAAGTCGAGTATTAAGGTTGTAGGTTAGGAGGTAGTTGGGACTTGTCTTACTTATACCTTTGTGACTAGTCTGATAGGGTTTTTATCTAAGATACCTAGTGTCATTGTTGTGTCATACTATTTCAGTGCATGACATATTCAATAGCTATCGCTTTACTTTGCATTTTTCTTCGGGATTTATGTTCATATTTTTTCTTATTATTTCTGTGGTGATACTAATATTCTCTACTTTTGTCCTTTTGTTCTATTGAGCCGAGGGTCTTTCGAAAACAGTATTTCTAACCCTTCGGAGTAGGGGTAAGGTCTGCGTACACACTACCCTTCTCAGACTCCATTAGTGAAATTTCACTATGTTGTTGTTGTTGTTGTTGTATATATAGCTTTAATAAACATAAATTATATTTTAAAAGTTAAAAAATTGAGGTACAAATTTACATCTAAAATTAAATACGTTTGACCTCATAATATACTTTGTTATTCTCTTTTTATGAGTATTTTTCATTTGTCTAAGCTTTGGCCGCTGGATATTACCTGTATTTGGAAACAATAAAAGAGAGTAACTTTACATATATGCAACTTAAAACAAAGTCTAAGAATATTTATATTCTTTTGTTACTCCAATACTGTTTCCAATTCAAGATTCTTAGAGAAGTAATTAATAAGCTTTTCTTTGTAATAATTCTTTGCTTTCTGACAAAACAAATGCTTTTCTCTAAATGAAGTAAACAAATGAATTCTCCTATCTGTGAAATTCATAAGAAGATATAAAATTTTATTTTTAGACACATTGATTATAACGCCTACCAATCATCATATTCCTTTATTTTATGGTTTGTCATCATCAACATATTTGGATTATCTCTTTAATATCATTGCTGCATTCATCTGGTAAACTTATTTCAATCTTTTTCAACCTTTAATTTCATCTATTTGCTTCTCTTTTTCTTTCTTTTTCACCTTAGGGATAGTGGAGGATTTAGATTAGATGTATCGTAATCGACATAATTCACTTATCTAGCTCAGACTAGATATATGTGTTCGAGACATATATAAAAAACAAAACGTACTCTGACTCTAAATCTTGAATTCGTCGATGCTTAAAATGGTTGTTAGGGGTGGGTGGTACACATTCAAGGTTTTTGAAAGTTCTTTTTTTTTCTGCAGGAGTTTGGTTAATTCAGTTATAAAGATTAATGAAATAAAAATTTTGTAGGGAATCAATTCTACTAATGTCTCAAGAAAAGATGAAAGAAGAAGATATATCCTATACAAATATCAAAACCAAAGATCATGTGTTACTCGATATCGTGCAAGAAGAAGAAGATCTTGTACAATCAATTGGCGAAAAGATGAAAAATATCTCAAGTTTTCATTGTATCAACAGAGTTCCTCTAGAAATAAAAAAGGGAAGTGAAAATAGTTACTCTCCTAAATTAGTCTCGATAGGTCCTTTTCATCATGGAGTTGACACACTTAAAAACATGGAGGAACAAAAGTGGTGTTATCTCAACACGCTAGTTAGTCGAAAACCAATAAACACACAACCCATTTTAGAGAATTGTGTGAAAGCACTTAGAGATTTAGAGGAGAAAGCAAGAAAATGCTATGGAGAAAACACAATTGATCAAATTGGAAGTAATGAATTTGTCCAAATGATGTTGCTTGATTGTGGCTTTCTCATTGAGCTTTTTATCAAGCTTGCTTTAAAGGGTTATCGACGTAGAGATGATATATTCTTTAGCAATTACGAGATGTTTTTTCGTTTAAGATGTGACTTAATTCTACTCGAAAATCAAATCCCCTTTTTTGTTCTACACCAAATATTTCACTTAGTTCCAATTCCTAAAGAATGTAATTATTCCCTTATTCAACTTGCTTTACTCTTCTTTAGAAAATTAATTCCAGGTGAAGGACTCATTACTATAGAGAAATTTGGCCCTAAAGTTCACCATTTATTGGACTTGGTTCACCAATGTTATCTTCCAACAATTCCTCAAATTCAACCAAATGGGGTACAAAAGCATTTGCACAATGTACTACATCTTCATGCTGTAGGGATCAAGTTCAAGAAGGCAATAAGTGAAAGTGTTATGAATGTGAGATTCACCAAAGACAAAGTATTGGAAATCCCAACTTTGAAAATACACAACTACTCTGAGATTTTATTCCGAAATCTGATGGCACTGGAGCATTTTGGTTCAACAAGTATGCGAGTGAGATATCTAGCGTCTGATGTTCGTACAACAGTATCCACAACTACTTTACTGGCTCACAGTAACATTGGTTCGAAACACGTTATGTCTTACGTTTACCTCATGAAATCTCTTGTAAGGTCTGCAAAAGATGCAAGCCATTTAATACAGAGGGAGATTTTGGACAGCAGTTTATATAATGATGAAGAGATTTTTCAACTGTTCCATAAGCTTCATGTAGAGTTTGATGTCAAGGATTTCTATTATAGTGGACTTTGTGAGAAAGTTAATGGATACAAGAAGAAAACAATGTGGAAAGTATGTTGCCAGAAACTCAGCAATGTATATGAAAAGACTTCCTAAGGAATTGCAGGCTTGACTGTTTTCTCAGTAGTTTCTATTTTTACTGCAATTTTATTTTCTTTACCAGCATTTTTACTGCACCACTTCTGAGAAATTTGAGTTTTCAATCTCCTTTCATCATTTTCGTTTTGGTATACACCATTATATGCAGATTCCAAATTATCCCATTAAAGGAGTGTTTTTTACCTAGATTCTCTTCATTCCACAAGGCTCGAACCCGAGACTTCTGGTTAAGGGTACAGGGATCTTATCCATTCCATCCCACCACAACCTCAAACCCGAGACTTCTAGTTAAGGATGAAGAGATCCTATCCATCCCACCACAACCTCAAACCCGAGACTTCTTGTTAAGGATGGAAGGATTCTATCCCCCCCCCCAAGTGATTCATGAAAAAGTTGATGCAGATTGTAGCCAGACACCTACAGCTCCTAAGATACAGAATTGTAAGATTCCATTTAGTGACTCGGAATAATCATCAAACTTTTGAAGTAGTTGGCAGATTAGAAATGAGTATAGATTGTATATTACCTTGTTTCTATTATAAAAATGAATTAGCTTAATACCCATCAATCTTTTTATCTCCTTTAAACTTAAGACAAGTACATTCCTGTTATTATTATTACTTGAAAACAGCCATAAATATTCTTTATACACGTTTCGAACAGAAAGAAGCAAGCTAATGTGAAACTAAATTTCTTTACTTCATCTTAACTTCTTCACATGATCCTTCACATCTGAGAAAAAGGACCCTCTTTTATCTATACAAGAACTCTGTCAAAATAACATATGGTAATTCATGTTTACACGATCTATATAGTTGATGTCACAACAGCAAAGGGATAAATATACTACATATTCCTGGATAAGCTGGCCCAAGTGGAGTAAATTGCCAAACATATTCCCTGTTGAACTCCATATTTACTGCTGGTAGATTTAGGATTCATCCATGAAAACAGCACCGTGGCCATTAGCTTTCATGAATTTCTTTAACAGAAGTACAAGTATAGCAATTGTGAGTCCAACTGCTGCCCATGTAAATATACGGTCATCAGCCTGCCTCGAGACGCTCTGTTGAGGTGTATGCAGTACCCGAGGCTCACTTGGCCGTGCAGTAGGGAGCTCTATAGGTGCCGGTACAGGTTCTGCATCTAAAGCCAATTCGCGTCTCTCTTCAATATTTGTGTTAGCATCAGATGGATTATGAAGCCTTTCCTCAGCAGTCTCGGCGCTGGGGTTTTCAGGACTCTCTTGGACCTCATCCTCTCCATTAATGTTCTGTTCTTCATGAGCTGGCAAGGAAGTAGCTTGAGGAACTGGGGGTGCTTTGCTTAGCATGTATTCATGAATCTGTAAAACAAATCAACTATTAACGCTTGAGCCTGCAGACGATGGATTGGATATCAAAATGATATTCAGATAATGTTATACCTCGTCAATCAGCTTCTGGCGCTCGGGAGTTCCATATCTTGGAGCCGTTTCACGAGATTTAATAGCTAAAGCACGCCTTTCTTCCTTTGTATAGTCTAGTGATCCAAGGGCACCATTTGGGTTGGTGGGCATAAATGCAATCAGAGCTACCAGCGCAGTCCGAACTGCAAATCATAAGATATTTAAACACTAATTAGCTACCGTAGCTCCGTCTTACCAAAAGATGGAAAGCAGCATCCATTAAGACAAAAGACTAAACCACACAATAGCTTGCGCACTGCAAACTGCTTTTTTCTTGTCAATACAACTAAAGAATAATAATTGCAGGCCAATAATGTATTGTATTTAGTCGCCAATCCATATGGGTTGCTCACACTACTATTTTATTGAGATTTTTGCATACTGTGGGTGTTCGCATTTTAGTTTTGCTCAAGTACAGGACACCAACAGTAATCATATAAGTTATACCACATATTCAATCATATCTCCTGACTTTTAAATCCATCAACACAGCCTAAAGCCAATTTTAAGTACACTCAACTAAATACAGCCATAGGTTAAAAGCACAGGACCATATAATTTCAAGAAAGGAAAATGCCAACTCATTCAGATGAAGATATCTTTTTATGTCCTAACATGACATTGCCTAAATTTGCCCCCCCCCCCCCTCGCCCACCCCCCAAAAAAAAAACACTGATGCAACAATATGAAAGTGAATTATTCATTAAAATATAACATAGTGCAAAAATGGTAGAAGAATGATGAAGTTACCACTCCATGACGGTTGCCAGTGCTCAGGGTGATGATTAGAAATGCTCAAACATATCTTGGTTTGGGTTTCAAAACGTCCATTGGGCTGAAAAGAGAATCAACCATGAGTTAGCAGATTATTAAACATGAAATGCATCAACTCTAAACCCAGATGGCAATTGAATGGGATAGGGTTTTGCTTCTACTGTTGGTAGACTATCCCAACCCACAAGACAGGCTTCCTTTTCCCTGCACAACTCACATGACCACCCACTGCTCCTAACAATGCCATATCTTCTTTTTCAGTTTGTTCATGCTTTTCCCTTTGGTTGGCTTTTTCCAATCTTTTTCGCTACCCTCCCGAGAAAAACTAGGTAGTGGGAGGGAAACTTGGGTCACACTTCAAAAACATGTTCCAGATTTGCACGTGGAGCAAAGCAAAGACTTCCTTCAGTACTCATTTGTTTATTTTATGAAGTAAGAGACTTTCATTAAAGGCATCAAGAAGATGCAAAACAAAAGAGAGTACAAGTAAATCGACTTTCCTTCAGTACTCTTCAGTCAGATCTTATCCTATGGTAAGACTTTCCTAAGACTTGCTTACTTTCCACTTGAATTACAAATCTCCTCAGCCTCTTTTTCCCAAGATACCTGCTATTTATCCTTTTTTTCACATCAAAATTAATTAGCACCCTGCCCAGCCCAATCTGTGAAGCCCGCTTGTGGCAGGTGAGGTTTGACCAACATCACTAGCCCCATTCTGATCTCTACTAAAACTTATACCATAAAATGACTTAAGTAGTAAGACTAGCTTTTAAAACAGCAAGAAACTTACAGTCAAAAGCATGAAAGAAGGAGGCTTGAAAGGATATTCGGCAGGCAACTGGATCCGTCCATGATAAATCCCCCCTTCAAACTCAGAATCTCGTGGACCCCTGATTGCGAATTGCCATTCAAAGATGTTCTCCTGAAAATGTAATATAAAAGTCAGCTTAAGTTGTTGTGTCATCGTACAACTTCCAGAATTAAAAAATAACTTGTTCATAGAAGATAACTAGTCATTTGTCATAAAAATGTGATGCAAGATACGATATTTCTGAAAGTAATATCTACAGAAGCTATTATGATGAAATCCATTTACTAGTGATAGATTCAAGAATCCAAAATACACAGTCACCTCATAACGGAAGGAAAATGCCCAAAATCAAATCTTGACCTATTTATATCATCACAGCAGAATGGCATCAAACTGAGCTAGAAGAGCACGGAGCTCATTCATCGTTAGTGAGGTTGATTCTTAAGCAGGATCAACCATAATCCTTAACATATTTGAACTTAGAACACAAAAACCACTATGCCAAATTTTACTGAAGCTTAAGAGTTTTATATCATGGGCATAGGACCACTATTATCTTTTAAATAGTACAAATCAGGTGTTGCTGCCTTGTCCTATTTGTAATTTAGTTTATTTCTGCGGTCGACAAAGAAGGATTTGTCAAAGCAGTTTCAAATTTTAAGACTTGTACATCCACGTAGGAATAAAGGTGAGATTTAGACAACCTATAGCTTTAAAGAATATCTAATTTGCCCTAACTGACAAATTATAGTATAAGAATGAAATGGGTCCGAATATAGTAAAATGAATACAAAGGATGGTTAATAGGTGACAAGCACCCAAGGTTAAGGCCTGTGGCCAATAAAGTGGCAGGAGAATTATGACTTATGAGGCCTCAGGTTTAAATCCTAGCGGAGGACACCAGATAATTTCTTCCCAAATGCCTAAGCCTTGATTGGCAGAGTTACCTAGTACCTAGGTATCTATGTTGGTGGGAAGTAGCAGGTACCCGGTGGAATAGTTGTGCAAACTGGTAAGGACACCACCATCATAAAAAATAAAAAGAAATTGTAGTAGGTACAACAAGTATTAAATTAATCTAGCTATGTCCAATCCTGTAAATACTGCTTGGCATAGAGACCTCATATATTCAAACTTAACTAGTCTGGAATTGAGTCGGTAATTCACGCAATCCTTGAAGTAAATGCAAAAGCGTGATAAAATTTATCCAACAGGATAAACTTGACCAGATAGAGGATAGACAATTTGCACACAGCTGAACTAAAGGAAAATAACAAATAACATATGCAAAACAGCACTGTAAAACCTGGAAGAGCCTGCGGAAGTAATGTGTTGTAAGGTGGGCTCTTTCCCTACAACATATCTCCTCTGGGAGCTAGATACAAAGCTCTAGGTATCTGGAATGGAGTAATTGAAAAATTTGAAAAAAAGTTAGCTTCCCGGAAAATGCAGTATCTTTCTTTGGGTGGTAGAATTACACTCATCAATAGTGTGTTGGATAGCATTCCTACCTACTTCTTGTCCCTGTTTCCAATCCCAGCTAAGGTCAAACTCACAAATTCCATTTGGTTAAATGGCCAAGAGTTATTCTCCCCAAAGTGCATGGAGGGCTAGGAATAAAATATCTCACTTTACACAACAAGAGTCTGTTAATGAAATGGCACTGGCGGTACAACATGGAGAACCCTGGGCTGTGGAAAGTTGTAATACAAGCAAAATATGGGGTGACAAACAACTGGTGTACTAGACAGAGTAGACTGCCTCATGGTTCTGGGCCATGGAAACACATTTCAAAGTTATGGGGTGACTTTCAACTCAAGTCATCACTCAAGCTTGGGAATGGAACTCATATTTCTTCCCGGAAAGATAGATGGTTAGGGTCAGAGATCCTGAAAGACGAACACCCAAGTCTATTTCTTTTGGCTAGCAACAAGGATTCCACTATTGAGCACTATTGACAATATAACTCATGGGCCTTGCAGTTCAGAAGAGATATCCAAGACTGGGAACTAAATGACTTGCTGAGATTGCTTTCAAAACTATCAGATTTTAAGGTCAATCCTCAGGTGAAGGACAAGCTGGAATGGGGAGATTCCAAAGATAAAACCTATACTGTCAAAAGAGGATATGACAATCTATGCTCCAATAAAGAGCTGATTGACAAATGGTCGTGGAAGCTCATATGGAGAACCAAACTCCCTATAAAAGTAATTGGTTTTATCTGGACAAGCCTGCATGAAGCATGCCTTACTCAAGACAACCTCAGTAGAAGAAGCATTCCGACAGTAAACAGATGTTTTATGTGCCAGGAGTCTGAGAGTGTGAGACATTTGTTTCTTCATTGCACGGTAGCAACTGACATATGGAACATGTTTTTATCAGTTTTTGGACTTGCTTGGGTCATGCCTTGCAGTATCAAGGATGCTTACGAGAGCTGGAGC